ATTCCCTTTCAAATCTAAATTCAAATAAGCCCTCTAACCCTGAATAAGACATTCCTAATTCCCTCTTAAATTTGAATCCAAATCAGCCCTCTTTCCCTTAATAAAATATTTCTAATTTCCTCTTAAATTTGAATCAAAATCTGTCATCTTTACTTAAATAAACATTTCTTAATTTCCTCCCCAATCTAAATTCAAATAAATCATCTTTCGCTAAATAAACTTTTCTAATTATTTCTCCCCTTATTTCTCCTTCTTACATTGTAAATGTTAACCTCGTTGAGCCCCAAAAGGTGGGCCTCCCTAGCGTGTCAATACTTACCCTAAAAAAATAATGTTGTCCTCAAGGTGAAATGAGGGGAAACGGTCTTTTGATCATCTCATATGGCTCTCATGTGATGTTGTATTTTGGAAAATCCTTCCACTTGATAAGTTCCTTTCGAACAATAAACCTTGGATGTTGAGAACGAATTGACAGTTTTTTGCTAAAGAGAACAACATATACTATGCACTTGTGCATAATAGACTCGGTTGCGACATCATCTCGATGGAAGTTGTAAAAGAGCTCTCTAGTATCTCTAGCCTGCATGTTTCTCCTGGTTTTTTTTTTCCTTAGTTTCTTCAGTCACAACCTCTATTAACTCAGTGATACTAATCCTTTTAGAATCATCTGGGCCAAAACAATCTATACGAAGCAAGTCAGCTCTATAGAAGAACCCGTGATCCTCTTCAAATAGACCACCAAGATCATTACCTTCAACTATCTATTTGTCAAATCTTACACCAAATTTTTATGATCCATTTTCTTCAAATGTTAGAATTATTTTAGCACGAAAGCTATAATGTGGACCTCTCTGAGCTGGAAAAGGTAGTCTAGAAGAATGCATCGTACCTACATATTTTACTCTATCACCTTCGTTGAATGTGCAATTTTTTGAAGAAGCTGTTGAGGACTCCTGCTTTGGCAAGAAATGACAATTTAAACTAGACGCTCCCACAATATTAGCTTCCACACTAGAAGCTGCTCTTCAAATATGAAAAGTGTCAGCTAATGTAGATTTCTACTTAGTAAATTCATCGAACTTCTCTTTATCAAGAAGTTTCTGGTCTTTTCTGTATGCATCAACAATGCAAAGATTCTTCAAATCACTTCTAGAATAACCTTCTGTTGCATTAGCGAACTCGTCAAATCTAAAGTTAGGGCCAAGGTTTTATTTGGAAAGAAATATCTTTATGATTTTCATGCGGTTTTCAACATCCGGAAGGTCTACATATATCCTTCTTGGAAGACGGCGTATTACATCATTGTTCAAATCAAATGATCTATTATCCTTGGTCCTTAAACCATCCCATGTTGCCATAAATTCAATTTGCATTCTTGTTGCTTTATGTTCAAAAGCACCACCACGTGCACCAAGTAAGTTTTCGACCTCATTTATGAAAATAATGATAGGCGCTAGACGAGATGTGAAAGAAAAGAGCGCCGCGGTGAGCTTCTCAGCCTCTCCAAAGCACTTTGATGTAAAAGTAGATAAGGTTATATTGATAAAATTTGATCTAGCTTCAGTTGCAAGGGCTTTTGCAAGAAGAGGTTTACCTATTCCCAGTGGGCCAAAAAGCAAAATTCCTTGTGGAAAAAGCTTAGGCCTTCTCAAAGGAAGCGTGACAAGTTCATTTAAAGTTCGCTTCATATCTTCTAGAGCACCAATATCTTCAAACTTGACCCTATTTCATTTGAGTGCACAACTGTTGAAACCAAAATTGCTTTCATACTCATTTTTCACAAGATTCTTTATGCTCTCTAAGGCCTTCGTTGAAATTGATTCTTGTTCCCATAACTTTGAAATAGCAATCTCTAGGCTTTCACAGGGTATCAACAATCTACCATTACTAACAGAAGGAACACTGACGTAGGACAAGTAGCGATTTCTAGCCCACCCTAGAACTTTCTCTACTTTTTGCTTTGTCAAAAAAATGCAATGTCTTCAAATGTAAAATCTCTAGACATTAAAGACTGCTCTCTTCAAGAATCTTATGCAGCTCAAGAAGATTATTCGTTGAGATGGTTACTTTTTAATCCTCTTCAATTTGTTTGTTGAAAGGTATGAGTTTCTCCTTTTCTTTGTTCTTAATCATTCGCATTTTCAACTTTTTCACCTTAGGATCGCCATTGCCCCAATAGCTTCTTCCTCATCTAGTGTAGTGGTTGTCGTGATCCCTCCATATTTTCGCAGTATATTGAGGGTGGGAGTCCCATCTTTCTTCCATTCATCTTGCATGACCCGTTGCCCATGGCTCGGCTCGTCCCCCTCCTCCGATTGTCCATTCCCCTTGCCCGAAGGCCCCACATAGTGGTCGTTCAGCTCACCGCCTCTACCACAAAACTCCCCCTCCCCACGCAGACCCTATTTCACTCATCCGATCCCTTTTCCCTTAGATTCAGCCCATGGAATCCTGATTAAATCTTGGTTAGAGTTAGCAAACGGAATAGTCGGTGAAGTTTTGGATTTTTATTATCTGGATAAAAATCCATATAAAGATCATTGGCACGACTTTATATGAATCAACCATATTTGTTATTGATGCGCCATTATTGAGACATGAAAAGTTCATTTATTTTGAAAACTAGATAAAGATCGATCATGCATTTTTTTTTATTTTGAAATTTTGTTTGATCTTAGTTTGGATATTTTAATGGGTACAAAATTTAATTCTATGACCTAAGCATCATCACAAATCACCCCTGGTTTTGCATTGTAGGAATATTCATGTAGCCATGATAGAAATATAAAACATGTATGTAAAGTAGATAAAGTGAGTAGTAAATGACGACAGTTCATATTTGGGTGGACATATTCAAATTATTAAATCCCAATTCATTTTGATTTTCTAGTCGAGCAATGACTTAAGGATCATTATTAACAATTATGATTTGCCCTATCCAAGGGTATCTTTTAGACTCAAGGGGTAGTAAGTCGTAAATATTACGATTGATGCTATTCTTAATCTTCATTTGAGTCAACTTTCTTATTACTTTTTAAAACGGCTTTCTAATATAAACATTTTAAGTTTAAAATTTTCTTATACTAAAAAACTGCTTTAAGAGCAGTAAGAAAGCTTTTCCAAACGAAGCCTTAGACTCTATGACCAGTAGGGTTTGTATGACTTACCTCTTCTACCTAGTGGTAGAAAATGTCTACAATTGAGAGTTATAGTCTTGACGAAAAGATCAAGATGCCCAACGACTGGGTTTTGCTTCATATATGAGGATGGAATGCCATTAACCCAACTAAGAATTTTTTGAAAAGTGATGAGGTTAAGTCTGATGATGGAATAAGAAAGACTCTTCTAGCTCTACCATGTTTTTGTATGGACATGACATGCAATGATATTTTTCTTGTTTCCATTTTTTCTTGGTGTAAACTCTTTGCTATAAGTAGACTCACTGGCATGACATTATATGAATCAACCATGTTTGTTGTTGATGCGCCAATATTGAGATGTGTGAGAAAATTTTCATTTATTTTGAAATCCGGTTAAAGATCGATCATGCATTTTTTTTATTCTGATTTTGAAATTTTGGTTGAATTTGGATGTTTTAAGTGGAACAAAATTTAATTCTATGACCTAAACGTCATCACAAAATCACCTATGGTCTTGCATGGTAGGGATATACATGTAGACATGATAGCAATAAAACATGTATGAAAGGTAGATAAAACTAGTAAATGACAGTAGTTCATATTGGGTGGACATATTCAAATTATTAAAACCCAAATATTTTTGGTTTACAAGCGAGTAGATCAAATTTGTGCGACATTCAAAATTTCTTAAAAAAATTTCCTTAAAATCAATCTATGATAGACAAATTCTTTAAATAGACAAGTTCCAATTCTTTCTCTTCTCAAATCCTTTTAACTCAAGGAATGAAATTGGTAACATTCAATAGAAGGTAAAAGAAAAGAATCTTCAAGGAGATCTACAATGAGGGCCTGTTATCAAATTGACATCAAATCAATTCTTCTACATTGCAACTGCACTATCTTCATGGTTTCATAATCTTGGGAAACACTCTTAAAGCAACTTGTCTATTTCTATATGATTTGTGATTTAATTTCTTACCGTAAGTTATGATATAACTTTATCAAACTAAGGTGAAATAGGAACATGAATGATTTACCATAAAAATCCTTCTTTCGTTCAGAAGAGGCGAGTTTGGGGTAAAACTGACACATAAGAGGTCCTAGTGAATGCTAAAGGTTTGGTTTCTTGAAAAAAATAAATGTTAAAGAACTAACCATCTTGGCTGTCTATATTCAAATGGGTTTTCATTTCTAGTCATTGTCAAAAAGTTCAATGCCAGAGTGGAGGTAGGTGTAGTTATTTATCTCTGTAGATCTTAACCTGAAGTTCAAGATCTGTTATTTCATCCAATCTAGGTGATGGTTCCGCATACTATTTTTTAAGGGCTATACATTTAAAGTAGACATTGTAAGTCTTTATTTCATAATGTGTTGCTGCTATAATATACATTATGAAATTAAGTCATCGTTTCTCTTAAAAATTTGAACAATTTGCTCTACATCCGTTCCCTATGATTTTCAAACCATAGAATAATTTCACTTACAATACAATATCTATTTTTATCTGTTTCCAGCACAAATCAAAATTGTGATATGTTGGGCTTTTGCATTGCAAAGCAGTTGAAAAACATTCCATGTTGAAGGGTCTCATAGGAGAACTGCTTTCCATGTAAATCTTGTGGCACACATCAAAGGAGAAATAGTAATTTCAAACTAGTGTACTTATTTGTTGGGATTAGCAAAATAATTCTTTTTTTTTCTTTTTGAACTAATTTGATAAATAAGAAACTAATACACCCTTAGATTTTATCATTTGCTGCTATCATGATGATGTTCTATTCTTCAAGCTAGGGGGGCCATGTTTTTCGTTAATTGTGCAAATTCACCCTTGGTTATTGGCTGAATTCCCATTTGTTGCAGGTGAAGAATTGATTTCCCCTTGCATGTGCAAAGGCACCCAGCAATTTGTTCATCGCTTTTGTCTCGATCATTGGCGCGCTGTAAAGGTGAGTTTATTTTGTCTGATCCCCTCATTCCCTGATTCTGTTGTTTGAACTTAATTGCTTGTGCACAAATATGTAGTCTATGTCCATGAAGTAATGCTAACATTATAAATCTGCTTGTTTAGGAGCATGCATTGATGATTGATATTATAAATTACTAAAGGAGATATCCATTTGTTATATATTTTTATGTGAAATGTAACCTTTCCTCAACTTAGGAAAACCAATGGCTTGGTTCCATATGCAAGATAATTTGTAAGCAATTTCCTTTTAGATTGACTTCTCAGTCATTGGAAAGATGGTTATTTTTTGTTCTTTGCCAATCATGGTAGTGACTTACCTAAACAAACACAATGCTTGAATGGCGTGGTGGCAGTGGTGTAATTGTGTATACGCTTGCTATATCCATGTGTTTTATTAATTTAACGTTTTATAAATTAAAACATCATTATCAAGTTCTAACATGCTATGCTGGATAAAAAGTACTACAACTTAAATTCTCTGATTGCCTCTACATGAGCAAGGTCTCCCTTTATTTATCCGTGCACTTCGTGGCTAATAATTCCCTTATCTTCTTGGAACTATTTCTATAGTTAGTCTTTCTTTAGTGTAAACTTGTTTTAAGGCTCACTTGGCTGCTTAGAGATGAAAATACGTTCTCGGAAATGATGAAGTTTGTTAAGTCCATTACGGAGGATGTAATTATAAACCAAGGTTTAAAATTGCGTAATTAAGCCTCGAGGCGGTTTTCGTCCGTGAGGCGAGGCGTAAGCCTCGAGGCGGTCTGAGGCGTAAGCCTCACGGACACAGAATTGCGTAAATGAAAAATTAAGGGTTTTAACAGAAAAATAATAGCAATATTGTACCTTACAATAAAAACATCTAAATGATATATGAAAATAGTGGAAAATAAGAAAGTAGATGCAATAAAATCATGTCACAAAGTACAAAATCACAAAATATTAGTTCAACAAAACTTCCAAAGTTCCAAAAACATATAAAATGCAATCATATCCCATCACTAAATGGGTCTTCAAGTGAATCTTCTTCTTCAATTGTATCTATGAATGCCATGTCATAATCATCTTCAATATGACTCACTTTTCTCTTCCCTGTTCAATAAAAGAAAAGATCATTAGCATGTTAATTGCTCACTTGATATAAATGTAATGCAATAACATATAAATATTGTGGAATACCTTTACTTGATTGTTGTGCTGCAAAGCTAGTGGATGTGTGTGGTGTGGTACTAGTGGATGTACCCACTTGATCTGCTTCGCTCCTCAGTACATCCACATTTAGATCTTCTATCTGTAAGTCTGATAATGGCAAATCTGCCTCATCATCTATGAACCACTCATTATCAGACGACACATCATCACACACCAACGGGTCCTCATCATCCTTCAACCCCTTATTCCTCAAAATGGTTGCTTTTGCTGCATTCAATCCAAAAAAACCCTTTTTATTTCGGAACAGAACAAGCTGTAAATCTGCAAGCTCCCTATCTGCCTGCTCCGGTATTAATCTCTCCATACAGTGATATAGACCTAGCTTAATCTCCGGATTTGAAGATTTTTTCTCTGAATATTGAAATTGAGGGTTAAGATAATATGCAGCTGCATGTAGATGTCGGTGTAACTGCACCTCCCACCGAGCATCAACGATATCCCAAATCTCCCTATAACTTGCCTCCTCTCCTCCCAAGTTTTGTGCAATCAACTCCTTGGCCTCATCCATAGCATTATAAATAAAACCCATAGCTGGTTTCTTCTCTGCATCCACTAAGCGTAGAACTTGCACTAAGGGTCTCGTGCTCAAAATGGCATAGGTCACAGTAGCCCAAAATTTATCATTCAGAATTATCTTTCTTATCTCCTTTCCCTCACTCTTCTTCCCCCAAGCAGAGTTTAGCCATTCAGTTGATGTAAACATGGCTTCCAAAGGTTGCCTCACCTTCATCAAGCTCTGCAGTGTCAAATAGGAGGTGGCAAACCTATAGATTCACAGTGCCCAAATGTTAAAACTATGAACATATAGTAGGAATGATTTACAATGTAAAAAATTATGAACATACCTAATGGTTGCAGGTCGAATGATTTCTTTCTTTGAAAATTTTCTCATTAAGCTTAAGACCCAAGAGTGATTGTAGATGAATTTTGTAATCTTCTTCGCCCTAACAAGAGCACTCTTGTGCTGAGGTAAGTCACCAAGATCCTCCAAAATGAGATCGATACAATGTGCTGCGCATGGTGTTCAATATAGGTGTGTCCTCTTCTCCATCAACATCTGACCAGCTGCTTTGTATGCACTGGCATTATCAGTCACTACCTGGACAACCAATTGCTCCCCAATCTCCTCAATAACACCATCAAGTAAATTGAAAATGAATGTGGCATTTTTCACCTCCTCTGAAGCATGAACGGATCGTAAGAACACCGTGCTGTAGGGATTGTTGACAAGGATGTTAATCAAGCTCCTGCTCTTCATATCAGACCATCCATCTGACATAATAGTCACACCAGTCTCAATCCATGTCCTTTTAATCTCATCAATGGTTCGCTCGGTGTTCTGCAACTCCTCTTTTAAAATCCAAGTGCACAACTCATACATAGAAGGTGCCTTCAACCCTCTTCCATACAATCCTACAGACCGCAACATATTGAAGTAGGCAGGCGATGTAGCAACATTAAATGGTATTGCATTCTAAAAAAAAACCTCCCAATGTCCATGCAAACCTGTCGCCGACCCTCTCTAGTACCAGCTGCAGGCATCATCTCTGCTTCTCCTCTATCCACTCCTGGAGTAGTCATATACTGATCCATAGGACTCCGTGCACATCTACTATGTATAGTGGAGAAAGAGCCCTTTCCACTCTCGCTCCCAAAATAAGCACCATGCTCGATCCTTTCATCAAATTGCTCATGTTGTAAGTGTTTAGCAGTGGTAGTTTTCTTCATGTAAGCACTTATTTCTTCCTTCACATTGTCCGTCACTTTTGCACACGGTGCTACGTTCTTGTGAGAGCATGATAAGTGCTCTTTCATGTGGGTTACTCCGCCCTTCACCACTTTCTCACAAAAATTACATTTTAAATAGACATACGTTTTCTCGCCCCCTCCTACGTCAACTTGCACGCTATATTTCCAAGAAGGGTCACGCCGCAATGACGTATTCGCCTTTTCTTTACCTCTAACCATGTCTCCTAAAGCAAAAAACCAAATACACAAAAAAACAATAAAAAAAAATTAAACCCTAGTTTAAGTTAAACTTGAAAAGTATAACCCTAAACTTAATAAAAATACCTAAAATCCAATGTGGAGTACTCCTAGAGGGCGGCCGGAAGTTTCAACTTCGCCGGAGAGAGGTGGCGCCGGCGGGAGGAGCGGCGGGAAGGAGGCCGATGGCGTGCAGGAGGCTCTGTTTCGCGAACTGGAGCGTGCGGGAGCTCTGTTTAGCCAACTGAAGGGGGAAAAATCGGGTGCCTTCTGGTATAGGGGGAGAAAAGGATTCAATTTAAGTTAGTGGGCCCTATCCCAATGAGGCGTACGCCTCACCAGGAATTGCGCAATTGCACCTCTGAGGCGCGCCTCAGTCCCAGTGAGGCGTACGCCTCTTACAGAGGTGGAATTGCGTAGGTTCCGAGGCGTTTTTGGGAGGAATTGCGCAGAGGCGCGCCTCTAATTGCGCAATTTTAAACAGAGTTATAAACCAACATTAACTTTAAACACCACGAATCTTCTCGAAAATCACTTGAACGTCATGATTTTATATTAGTACTTAAAATGAGGGAAAATGAAATTATTTTTTCTAGAACTTCTTTTCTATCTACATTGCTCTTCAGTACCATATTGCTGATTTGGAGTGACTATTTATAAATATCATTCTAATGTTTTCATCCGCTTGTGTAACATCCAAATAATTAGTCTTTATTTATACGATAAAATTTAGACTGCAACTAATCAAATATAATTTAAACCAAATATAATTTACAGGAAGGGTTCGCTTTCTCTCATTGTACAACATGCAAGGCACAGTTTCATCTTCGAATAGCGTTATTGGAGGACAATTCTTGGCGGAAAATGAAATTCCGCATCTTTGTGGCCAGAGATGTTTTCCTTGTATTTCTGGCTGTTCAAACTGTGAGGAAAATTTTTTGATATTCAAATTTATTTTTGCATGTTTGTTGCAAGTTTACTATTTGAGTTGAATCATGTTTTTCTAAAAGTGATAATTTATAAAATTGTTCATTGTTTGAATTTGTTTATATTAGAGACGGAAAAATAACTTGTTATTAACTGGATATAGTGTGCTTATATGTTGGACTACATGATGAATACAAAAGAAATATAAAAGAATATTCTCAATTACAAATATATAAAACATTTATAAATAATATATATTTTAATCTAGTGCATTCCTACAATAACACTTTTCAGTTTAACAGTTTGTGATAGCGCTCAAGTTGGCGCATATAAATCGATGAATTCAAGCTTATTACAAATATTGAAAAAAATATAATGGTTCTAGAGTTTTGGTAAAGATATCACATAGCTGTTTTTCATTGGAGACATGTGGAGTCCTCTGTATGCCTAATTGACAATCCACTTCAATTGTTTGGTTCTTTCTTGAAAGATAGGATTGCTTATTATAGATGATTGTCTGATTATCATAACCATGGATCATAGATGTGTAAAAGAAAGTCAAAGTTTTATCCACATCATTTTGTCCGCAGAAGAGCTATATCCCTGTATTTTGCTTTAGCAATAGATCTAGCTATATAACAGCATCCTTTCTTTTTCAGAAGACAAGATATTTTTACCCTCAAATGCACAATATTCTAAAGTAGATTTTAGATCCTAAATAGAGGAGCATAATTCACATAATGAAGTTTCAATCATTAAATGATTATATTTTTGATAGACTAAACTATTTCTTGAAGATTTCTTAATATATTTTGGAATTTTTAGGACAATATCCTTGTATTTCTTTTTTCTTTTTTGCATATACCGACTCACTACACCAACAGTGAAGAATATATCAGATTGAGTGATAGATAATTATGCCAATCAGCATCGATAGTTAGATGAATTGTCATAGTTTTTATCATTCTCATGTGATTGTAGAGTTTCTATAAGAGACTTAGCAGGCTTGCATCCAAGAAGGCTGGTTTCTTCAAGAGTGGCTCTAGCATATTTTCTTTAAGAGGCTGGTTCCATATGATATGCAAACACGATACTAAGAAAGTATTTTGGGATTCCTTTTTTCTTTTTTGCATATACCGACTCACTACACCAACAGTGAAGAATATATCAGATTAAGTGATAGATAATTATGCCAATCAGCAGAATCGATAGTTAGATGCATTGTCATAGTTTTTATCATTCTCATGTGATTGTAGAGTTTCTATAAGAGACTTAGCAGGCTTGCATCCAAGAAGGTTGGTTTCTTCAAGACTGGCTCTAGCATATTTTCTTTAAGAGGCTGGTTCCATATGATATGCAAACACGATACTAAGAAAGTATTTTGGGATTCCTCAAATCTTCAATAGAAAACTTTTTCAGTAGATATTATTTTATTTTAGTAATTCAAAAGTTGCCACACTCATTATATAGTGTGTCGTCAACATACATAACATGAATAAAAATGCCACTAGAATATTGAATTAATCTAGAGTGATTAGCAATTCTACCTTATAGTCCAATATCTCCGAGAACCTTGCAATGTTTGTTGAACCAAGTATCAGGAACCTATTTCATGTCATATATAGCCATTTGAAGATTATGTATTTGGTTTTCCCCCTAAGAAACATATCATGGAGGTTGCTCCATATAAGCAACTTCTATAAGATATTTGTAGAGAAAGTATCATTGTCATCCATTTGGGGTATAAGCCAACCTTGATTAATGGCAATATAGAGAAGTAGACGAATGAATTGAGCCATACAATGGGTAAAATATCATGCAGTAGTTAATATCATGGATCGATTATATATCTTTTCATCACTGTTCAAGCCTTGTTGTGATAAATAGAGTTATTAATGTGAAATATAAACTTGAAGATGCATCAATAAGAAATGAGTTTAACCTTAGGAGCGGGTCTTGCAAAATCTTTGATATGTTGATTAAGTAGAGCACTCATTTCTCTATCTATAGCTTGCTTCCAATTAAAATATAGTGCCTCCTATTATGCCCAGGGAATAGAGACAATAGATTAAAACAATGCAAATCGTCGAAAAGGAGAAAGATGATTAAATGATATAAACTAGTGTAATGGATGGTTAGTGTGTCGGTGTTTATCTTTGTAGAGAGCAATAGGAAGATGTTGATCTAAGGCCGCAATGTCAATTGGATGTTGAACAATAGTAGACTTGATGGAGGGATGTACTTGGTGAGACCATTAAGTATAAGCTTGTAAGAGAGGAGAAGCAAGCATGGGGCTAAAAATATAGTTGCTGACAAGGGCTATTGGTAAGAGATGCAGTGGGACAAAAATAAGATATTTCATGATAGGTAACATAAACAAAAATATTATCTTACTTTACAAGTGATGTAAAATTGATAACCTTTCAAATTTTAGAATAGATCAAAAAAGATGTGTTGATCCTCATATACATTATAAAATTTACTTTGAGAGAATGCAAAGGGAGGAAGTCCAACCTACATGACGTTGTGCAGTGCGGAATTGAAACACCTCGATTTTACGTGTTGCAAGTTCGAAATGCCTCGACCATTATCCAAACTACTCAAACATCATCCGTTTGCAAAATGGAACACTACGATGTATTCATGACACGGAATTTATCAAAGAAACACTTTGACACAACTTGATCGAACTATGACAACCACGATGGTGACTGATGCAACGTTGCGTAAAATTTGTATAATCGTTCGATCACAAAATGAATTGCACTGTTGCATATGAAACATCAAGTTTACCTAAGGGGAGTCTCTTGCACATGACTCGAGCAACCACGATAAAAAATGACGAACCATGGATGCAATGTTGCCCGACGACGCCTTAATATCACTCGTTTGTGAAATAGACTTCGTCATGTTTGGAATGTCAAAATCACTTAGAAATGACAGTAATATTACCTGAGTTATTTGCATAAGCAAAAAATAGGGATTTACCTGCGCTAGTCGGTGACACACAAATTGAGGCACATGAGAAATGAGGAATTATGTAAAGTGGTAATTAACATTTCTATTAAATAAAATTTAAATTATATCTATATATATATATCTATCTACCCTATTTTTGGCATTAGTTGCCTATCCTAATCTCTGCATCTTATCCCATCGCTAGGTCAGCAGCCAGAAAAAAGTAATATCCTATCTAATTCATCACCCATCCTTCATGCGTTTGCTCTCTCGCGTTTTCATTTTTCCTCACATGCAGCCCTTTATGTTTGTTTGTCTATGTGTCGAACCCAGCCCGTCTCCCAAACTTTCTACTCTTCTCTTACATGGCTTGCTGCTTCCTCATCTCTTCCTTCCTATTTCTTTGCCTCGTACCTTTGACCAAACCCACCTGCAGCCAGTTACCCACACTGGCCTAGCACGTCATTTTTTTGTAGCTGACCACTCCTTCCCCTATCCTCACATAACAACGGAACAACTCCAACAGCACCCTCTTCCTTTTTGCTATCCCTTCACTTCTTGCTCCTAGTCCCATTGAAACTATGGAGTTCCACTCAGCCTAGCACTCCCAACTCTCTACCTTTGGTCTACACGCACAGGTTGAGCAACCCAACCTGCTCACCACTCACACACCTCTAGCTTCTTTGATTGACTCTAAGTGAAGACCTTCCTCTTACTAATTTCCTTTTACTGAGCACAACTTAACCTTCAACTCCCAGGTGGCCACAGCCTCCCAGCCAACTCATCTCTCTATTGGCATGCACATAAACATCCCTAGCTCCTTCTAGTCCACCCTATTCTCCCTCTAGCTATCTTTCTCTCTCTTTCTTCATGAGAGGTAGCATTCTCTCCCTATCTCTAAATCCTTCATGTTCTCTCTTTCTAAAATAGACAATATTCTTCCCACTCTCACTCTACTTTGCTCTCTCTCTCAGTCTCTAAGCTCTCTATCTTTACTCTCACTCTCTCTTTATATATATATATATATACATATACATATAATAAAAACTTAAAAAAATTAGGAAAAACACAAAAAAAGATAGAAAAAATATATAGAAAAGAGAAATAAAAATATTGAATTTTACCCTCACAACTTGTTGTCATTGTCACCACTCTCACCTTGCACGTGCAAATGTATAACCTTTATTAACTCAAAATTCTTAGAAATCCCGATGATGATGTACGACATGACGACTGGATTGTATATGCGCTTTTTCTAGTGTGGTGAGGGAAACTTGTATGCGTAAGGTCTATACATGCTTTTTTTAATGTGGCGTCAACACTTTAATTACATATATGCACTTTTTTAGTGCAGTGGGAAATTTGTGAGTTACAAATAGGTAGACAACTCCTGACCACAATGTTACATGACACCGACCATCTCGCTATTGATAAGCATGGTAGGTTGGCCTTAATACCCTCAATGATGCCCCCTCTCCCTTTTTTATGTTGGGAAGATGTTGGGATGTTGTCGATTTTTTTTAGTGAAAAGGAGATTTAATGAAATTAAATCATTTATCTTCATTATGTTAAATTCTCATTTATATTTAATAAAAAAAGACATTTTTATATTTTCTAAGCAAGTTTTTTTAGGTCTACCTCTATTTCTTAACATAGGCCGGTTTTAATACATCTATTCTCCTAATCGGGTCATTGGAAGGCCGATACTTTATGTGACCAAACCATCTAAGGCGATTCTCAAATCTTATCTGCCAATGAAGCTACTCCGACCTTTTCACATATATACTCATTTCACATTCTGTCTCTAAGGGTAAAGATGCTTATCCATATGAGCCTCCTCATCTGTGTGACAATGAACATAATTTTATGCTTCACTTTTAATGGCCAACATTTTTCCCCATAAAGCATTGGAGATGTCACTATCTTATAAAAATTTCTCTTAAATTCTAGTGATATTTTTCATCACAATAGGCCCGATGCATTTCTCTACTTCAACCATCCAACTTGAATTAAAACGTGCACCCTTTTTAATGATTTGG